TTAAATTATCATTTTCTCTGTTTGCTGTCTGCCTCTATAAGGTATGACCCATGCATTTAACATGCTCATTCTGATATATGTAACTTATAAATTGGAATATTTATAAATGTTTTCTGTGAGTTTTGTTGTAGTCTTAGAATAGAATGTTATAAGTTTTACTAAAGGCCTGTTGCATGAAAATTTGTGCACTTGAGGGGGTCCCTCAGCCCGGCCTGCGCCCTCTCACCTAAGCTGTTAGTTGGACATCCTTAACGCTGCTAGCAGAGGCGGGAGAGGCTCCCGGCACCGCCACTGCGCTGGCCAGCCATGAGCCAGCTTCTGGCTGAGCAATGCTCCCACTGTGGGAGCACACTGACCACCAGGGGGCAGCTCCTGCATTGAGCATCTGCCCCCTGGTGGTTAGTGCATATCATAGCGACCAGTTGTTCCCAACTGTTCCCCTGTTAGGGTCAATTTGCATATTACCCTTTTATTATATAGGATTTTAAGTAGAGGATACATGATCAGAAATTCCTTTGTGTGTGAACTGAATAATTTAAAAAATTACTCGCAGAATTATCAATTCAAAAGATATTTAGCAACACAAATAAAAATGGTTTAATCAGTTTTATTCTCACAGGTTCATAGTTGTAGGCCTAGTTTAAGTAATTGGTAAATATAAGAAAAATCAAGGAGAATTCTTGAATTGTGGCTTGTATTCTATTTCAACTCTGAATCTATTCTCTCTCAATTCTGAATCTATGTTCACATCAAAATCATTAGCAGTTTTCTAAAAGAGAATGTGTTTTCTCTGAATCAGACTGATATTGTCCTAATTTTGGCAACTATTTCATGACTCCCCACCCCCAAATGGCAGGAAAGTCCTCTCAAACTGTCTTAAGCCAAAAAATGAACTTAATGACTCAGGTAATTGAAAAAAAAAAAAAGGGATCTTCAGGTATGTCTTGATTCTATCAATGTAAGTTTTTGATCATAAAAATATTTAGGAGCTATTTTTGTTTTAAAAGTTTACTTTTGGTTTATTAAACCTAAACTGAAAAACTCAGTTTTTATCATTAAAGTTCAACTTTAACTATAAATGTTCCAACTTTCTTTTACCTTCTTGAATATAGGGAATATAGTTACAATAAATGTTTTAATGTCTCTGTCTATTAATTCTGTCATCTGCGGCATTTCTGTATCTGTTTCTATTGAGAATTTTCCTCTCCTTGAGCTTTACTTTCCCGTGTCTTATCTGGTAAGTTGTGGTTGGATGGCAAACACTAACTTTTATCTTGTATTCCTCTATTCTTGAGCTTTCTTGCACATGATTTACTTGGTTCTTGCGCTCCTCTGGTCTGCTGTTGGGAGTCTGTATAATATTCTTTATTTCAGTTAGTGTATGCTTAATTTCTAGTTGGTTCTTTATCACAACATCAAGGGTCTCATTAGATTTCTTGAGGATCTCCCTATATTTATCGGCAGTCTCACCAGTCTTTTCGAGGGCCTTACTAAGTTTATCGGCGGCTTTCTAGACAGTTCTTGAGAGACCTTAAAAGTGTGGTTTTGAACTCTATATCCTCCATTTCTGTCAGTTGTGTCCTGTTTCTTTGTCTCCGCATTTTTTATGCTTTCTTTTTTATAGGTTCCACAGGAAGGTTTCTATCTCATAACCTTGGCAATGGCCTTCTTTTATGTGACCATAAGACAAGGTTTAAAAAATTATATTTTCATTGATGAGAATATTTTGCTAAAATTTTTTTTCCAATTACAGTTCACATACAATATTATTAGTTTCAGGTGTACAAGACAATAATGACATTTATATAACTTATGAAGTGATAGCCTCAATAAAGCTAGTACCATTTTACATAGTTATTACAATACTAGTAGCCCTGTGCAAGAATCCGTGCGCCAGTAGGTTGCTGTAGCTCTCCTCCCACTGCACCGCCCTCCTGTAGCTCACCCCTTCATAGCTTGTTGCCCTGCCCTCTCCTGTAGCTCTCCGCCTCCCGCTTGCTTGCTGCCCTGCCCCATCCTGTAGCTCTCTGCCGCCCGTAGCCCGTATGTAGCCAGTAGGTCGCTGCCGCCCTCCTTTAGCTCCCCCCACCTCCCCTCCTCACCCCACTCATAGCTTGCTGCCCTGCCCCCTCCTGTAGCTCTCCACAGCCCGCTTGTACCTCGCTGGCCCACCCTCCTGCTGATCTGTGATCTGGTTGTGATGCGCTTGGTTGTTATGTCTCAGGGCGTAATGGCTAATTAGCATATTTCTCTTATTATATAGGATTATTGACTATATTCCCTATGCTGTACTTTACATCCCCATGACTATTTTGTAACTGCCAATTTGTACAACTTAATCCCTTCACCCTTTTCACTCATCTCCCCAACCACCCTGACAACCATCAGTTTATCTGTATCTATGAGTTTGTTTTGTTTTTTAGATTCTACATATAAGTAATATCACATGGTATTTGTCTTTCTCTGTCTGACTTATTTCACTTAGCATAATACCCTCCAGGTCAATTTGTTGCAAATGGCAAGATTTCACTCTTTTTTTTTATGGCTATGTAATATTTCATTGTATATATGTACCATTTCTTTATCTGTCTATTGATGGACTCTTAGGTTGCTTCTAGATCTTGACTATTATTAAGTGACACTGCAATGAACTCAGGGATGCATATAATTTGTGAATTCGTGTTTTTGATTTCTTTGGATAAATAGCCGGAAGTGAAATTGCTGGGTAATTGCTCTTAGTTCTATTTTTAATTTTTTTAGAAACCTCCATACTATTTACTGCACCAATTTACAATCTCACAGCAGTGCACAAGGATTCCCTTTTCTCCACATCCTCGCTAACACGTTTGTTGACCTATTGATGATAGCCATTCTGGCCTGTGCTTTGGTGTGATGACATTAACTCATGGGGCTTGCGGTGCAGAAATAGTCTGTAAATTACAGGTTCCTCTTGATGAGGCTCATTAGGAGGAAAGGTCCCTGGCCTTTATAAAAGGAACAGCTCTTTGGAGCAATAGGCTTGATTTTTATGGCTGCCTTGAATTATATGATTGACCCAACATTCCATCTTGGTGCTGCATACCAGGAAGGCTGGACCCAAATTTAACACTCACTTTTATGTAAGATTTAGAATTCCATGGGATAAATGTTTTATATATGTTCATTCTAGATGTTGTTAGTGTTTGTTGATAAAGGAGGGATTTTATGTGATGAGATGTACATAGGTGTGCTAGAGGGAGAAGAGACATTGAAGTGGTTTTAAAATCTCCACTTAAAATCTAGGGGCAACATGGGAAACCGAAAACCACAAAACAGTGATTTCATAATAAAAATGCATACAAGTAGGAGAGTCATGAACCAATAGAGTAACATTTGTATATTATATTCTTAAACTTTCACTAGTTTCAATAACATATTTGTTATTATATCAATATTTCAACATTATATTCAGACAGAGGTTGCTTTCCTTCCAAGTACTTTCTCATTTGGGAAACATAACAGGAGAGAGAATGTACAATGTTAAAAATTTATTTCTGAAATGCTTTATTCTTTTAATCAGTACACATTATATTAAGTATAGAATTTCCTTAAAAATTAACAAATAATTCTAAGTTTCACTGTTAGGACACTGATATAGAGAAGAAAACATCTGGCTCTTTTGACTTTTCTTTTTACATTTGTCCAAGTCCAAGTAGAGTCTCATATTAAGGTTCTTCTGTGCTATTTCTGTCCAAGTTGTGACAGCTACAACATAAATATAGCTTTTTATTAATCACAAAAGATACATGCATTCAAATTTTTAAATACCTTAAAATGTACATTTGCATTTGTTGCATTTCTAGAATAACAATACATTTTCACCACTAACTCAAATATTTAAGATTTGTAGATATTTTAAAACTAAATAGCAATAAACACTGTCATGTCAAAAAATGTGGAAAACATTTATAGGTGCAAATTTAACCAATGAAAAACAAAAACCCTGAGAATGATAAAATTAATATTTAACTCAATATGAAAATGTAAATAAAGAAAAAACGTCATGTGGGACTTCACTGCTGACAGATCACTTCTCCCCTCATTTTAATTAATTTTATATTTCTAGGAGGTTATTAAAAGGACAAGGCTTTCAATTTAGAAAGGCTGGGTTATCTCTGATTGGATGAATTCTCTCAGAGATAGCAACTATAAACTTTAAGCAAAATACAAAACCAACTACGAGAACAACTGAAAGGAGGTAATAGCACTGGCTGAGTCCCTGCTTCAGTGATTCTTAGCCTCAAGGAGGCCACAGTTGGTATTATACTGGAGCTGAAATTCTGATAGAAAAACTGCAGTGTTTCTGGCCTGAAGGACTAGAGGAGTTTGGGGCAACGAAAGTCACTGGAAAGTGAGGGGGAAATCCTGGAAAGGTGAGAGCCAGTGTGATGCGGTCCTAAACCCTGTGTTTAGACTTTTCCTAAATCTATAGTAAAACCTTGAACCACTTGTGAATGAGAGAGACTAAGAACTGTCTCAGAGACAGAGTTTGAAATCTGAGTCTAGTCAAGGTAATTACCTGCTAAAACCACAAGTCAACACTCTTTAGAGAAATACAATTTAGTTTCCAAAATAAAATAACAATATTAAGGATACAATCTAAAATTAAGTTGATATATGAAGAAACAGGAAAATATGATCCATTCTCTAGGAGGAAAGACAATGGAGACTGACAGCAAGATAATCCAGGTTTTAAAAGCAGCTGTGACAACTTTCCTCAATAAAATTATGGAAAATATGCTAACAATGAAAAGATAAAAAATCTTAGCAGAGAAATACAAACTATATAAAAAAAACAAAAATTCTAGAACTGGTAAATATATTATTCAACAGTAGAATGGGGATAACAGAGTAAAGAGACTTAGTGAATCTGATGACAGAGCAACTTAAAACTGTACACTCTAATGAACAGAGTCCTCAGGGATCTGTGAGACAATATAAAAAATTGAACATATATGTAGATGGAGCCCCAAAAGGAGAGGAGAGAGAGAATTGGGTATAAAAATATTTGAAGAAATAACAGCTGAAAATCCCCTGTGAATGTATAAATTTATAGGTTTAAAAAAATTCAGTGATCTTGAAACATATTACACACAAAAAACCATAACTAAATTTCTGAAAACCAAAGATAATAAAATATTGAAAGCCAGAGAAAAATTATATATTACATATAAAATTACATCAATCTGAATGACTGCTGACTTCCCATCAGAAACAATGGAAGGCAGAAGATTATGGAATGATCTTTAAAGTGTTGAAAAACTGTCAGTTCAGAATTCTATATCCAACAATAATTTAATTGAAGGTGAAATAAGGAAATTTTCATATGAAAGAAAATTAAGAGAATTCACTGCTAGCATACCTGAGCTACACTGAATGCTAGAAAAAGTTTTTCAGTCAACAGATAAAAATTAGAATTATTCTAAGGGATGAAGAGCACTGGAAATCATATCTGTGTAAATGCAAAAGACTTCTTTATATCTGAAGTACAAATGATAACACTGTCCACTATCATGCAATGCTAGTGATATACGTAGATACAAATTATATGACAATCACAGCATAAATATTGAGGAAATAAGTCTATATGGTTGCAAGATTTCTGCATTTAATGCAAATGGCACAATATTAAATCTAGTCTATGAACAGTTAAAGATGTATATATATATATAATGATCTCCACAGCAACCACTAAATTAATAATGCGGAGATATAGCTAAAAAAAAACCTGTGGGTGAATTAAAATAGAACTCTAAAAAGTGTTCAAATAATTCAAAGTAAGGCAGGGAAGGAGGAACAGATGAACACCAAACAGAAGACTAGTAGAAAGCAAACAGTAAAATGGTAGCCCTAAATCCAATCAAATAAATAATTGATTAGATATCAACTGACTCCAATTAAAAGGCAGTTGCCCAGCTGGTGTGGCTCAGTGGTTGAGGTCATGGTTCAATTCCCAGTCAGGGCACATGCCCAGGTTGCAGACTTGATCCCCAGTAGGGGATGTACAGGAAGCAGCCAATCAATGATTCTCTCACATCATTGATGTTTCTATCTCTCTATCTCTCTTCCTTTCTGAAATCAACAAAAATATATTTTAAAAAATATTTATAAAAAAAGGCAGATTGTCAAAATGGTTGTAAAAAAACCCAATAGATCCAACTATATGCTACCTATAAGATATGTAAGTTGAAAGTAAACAGATGGAAAAATTGTAACATGTAAGCCATAAGTGTGAGAAAGCTAGAGTGGCTATGTTATCAGATAAAGTGGACTTCAAGACAAAGTATTACCAGATGTGTAGAAGAATACTACATAATAACAAAAGAGGCTATTAGGAAATGCAACAATCATATATGTGTGTTTACTAATAACAGAGCTAAAAGTGCAAAAAGCAGAAATTGAAAGAGATAATTCTATAATTACAGTTGATTTTAATATCAGTCTTTTCGTACCTAATAGAAATAGACCAAAAAAAATTAATAAGGACACAGAGAATCTAAGTAATGCCTTCAACTACCTTGACTAAATTGCTATTTATAGAGCCCTTCCCTCCGTTTCTGTATAATGCATGTCTCAATTAAGTGCACATAAAGTGCCTAGCAAAATAGACCATATGTTGGGCCATAAAAAGAATTTATGTTCTCTAACCACAGGGAATGAAATCAGAATTCAGTAAGAATAATATATCCAAAAAACCTACAAACACTTGAAAACAACAATAGATCTCTACATTATAAAGAATAAACCACCAGGTAAATTAAAAATATTTCAAACAATGATAATGAAGATATATCAACATTTGTGGAACACAGCTAAAGCAGTGTTTGGCAAAAGTTTTTATTTTATAGCTTTTTAAATGCTTACTTTAGAAAAGAAAAACTAAAGTAGTTGACTTAATATTCCAACTTCAGAAAAGAAGGATAAAGTAAATCCAAAGTAATCAAAATAAAAAATAAAATCCTTGAAATCAATGACTAGAAAACTAACAGAAACAACATCTGGTTCATTAGAAAATATTAACAAATTTGAGGATTCTCTAGTTAACCCAACCAAGCAAAAAGATTCTGTTTACATGATATTCTAGAATGGGCAAAACTAATCCGCAATAGAAAAACATCAAGACAATCAGGCAGGCAGTTGGGCAGGGGTTGACGAGGGGCTAGAATTGACTGGGTAATGGCCATAAAGAAACTTTGTGGTGTGATGGTTCTGTATCTTTTTAAAAAAATATATATTTTATTGATTTTTCACAGAGAGGGAGAGGGATAGAGTCAGAAACATCGATCAGCTGCCTCCTGCACACCCGCTACTGGGGATGTGCCTGCAATCAAGGTACATGCCCTTGACCGGAATCGAACCTGGGACCCTTTAATACGCAGGCCGATGCTCTATCCACTGAGTCAAACCAGTTAGGGTTATGGTTCTGTATCTTGTTGGGGGTTCGGGTTACTCAGGTGAACATATCTGACAAAACTCAGGGATGTACACTTAAGATCTGTGTATTTCACTGCTGTAAATTTTACCTCCAAAGGCTTAAAAAAACCCAAACCCTAAGCAGACAATGAACTCTAAGTAATAGTATTGACACAGATGTGTTAAGAGGGAAGTATACTGATATCTATAATTTACTTTAAAATTAATAAAGTTGCTGAAGCCGGTTTGGCTCAGTGGATAGAGCGTCGGCCAGCGGACTGAAGGGTCCCGGGTTCGATTCCGGTCAAGGGCATGTACCTGGGTTGCGGGCACATCCCCAGTGGGGGATGTGCAGGAGGCAGCTGATCGATGTTTCTCTCTCATCGATGTTTCTAGCTCTCTATCTCTCTCCCTTTCTCTCTGTAAAAAATCAATAAAAATATATTTTTTAAAAAAATAAAGTAAGTTGGGGTCATGAATGAACAATGGATAGACAGGTAGGTATCTTAGAAAGTACGGTAAAATGTTAATGGGGAGTATACATGTGCTCACTGCAAATTCTCCAACTTTTCTGTATATTTGAAATTCTCATAATACCACTGGGACACTATATTGAGGTTAAAAACACAAGAACTACATAATGGGGTAAGAAAGTTGTGCTAGAAAAGAAACAGGTACTAAAAATGAGTAAAGGATATAGTTATTATTTTTGTGGCAATCATGGCAAAGGTGAGTGAACATTACTCGTCAGTCAACTGAGCGATTCAGGTAGTTCAAGCTTAAAAAGCTACAAAGTTAATATAATTACTGAGAACACTACGGGGAATAATACTACAACAAGGTATAGACCCTGTACACCTCAGCTACTGCTGTCATTAACTTTCACAGTGAATGTAATTCCACTGTATCACCTGAGCACAGTTGGTAGTAACAGCCCAAGAAAGTGACTTTATTTCTTAGCCCAATTTGTGATGGGCTTTGCAAAATCAGAAATGTAGACAGTATCTAAGGAAATGCTGAATTAAAATTTTCCTAATTGAGTACACTACTCAAATTTTACATTTTCTGAATTTACCTTTTTACAGATTTGGGATACTGAAAATAATGTTACTTATCAGAGTTTTTTGTATAGATGTCCATGTCAAAACCTTACATTTTATTATAGCTCTATGGTTTCAGCTGGATCAGATGAATATAATGATTCTCTTGTTCTCTTTTGAAAAATACCAACAGCAACTTAGGGTATGTTAACAAAACAAACTAAAAAGGTAAACTTTACCTGTTTTACGAACTGTGTGGCATTAAAAAGTTCACTGCAGCCATATAAAATGTGTTTGCCTGGTTTCCCCTGTAAAAATCAGATACAAGTAAGTAACAAGTATTCTCAAGAAGAGGAATTAAAGCTAATAAATCTTTTTGTTATTCTTAAAGATATTTTTTTTGGGGGGGGGTAGGTGTTGGATTTTAACCCAAAATTGCATAGAATAAAGTGGTGAAGTGGCATAGTATTTTTTAAAATATGGAAATAGAAGGGATCTGATAACTGCCACATTTCATAATTATCTATAAAATCTTAGGCCAACACTCTTGCAATGAAGGATCTGTATTACTTGAAGAAAACATTCTTAGATTTTTATGTGGCTCTATGGCCACAGAGGCTATAAAAGACCCCTCCTTGTACAAGACGATGCCCCTGAAACCAGAGTATCTTACACAGATCTTGGAGGTTTGCATTGTGAAGATCAAGTATGTCCTGTGCAAGTGACATAGAATCCCAGCAGTTGTGCTGGGAGTTTGAAGATTTATGGCATCAGCCTATTTTTTTTTCCTCCAGTTGTACCAAAAATCTCTATCTTTATTTAAAGCCTTACATCACATAGGACATAAGGAATGATCATTCTTTAATGTTAAGTAAATAAATGAAGATTACAAGATGTCATTCTAACAATCACTAATTCCATCACACCTGCATTTAATTTATTAATTTATTTAGCTTTTCACATAGGACATAAGGAATGATCATTCTTTAATGTTAAGTAAATAAATGAAGATTACAAGATGTCATTCTAACAATCACTAATTCCATCACACCTGCATTTAATTTATTAATTTATTTAGCTTTTCAAGTCACACCCTTTCCTCCATATTCTCCATCTGCTTAGTTGTCCATCACTCCCTGCTGCTGTCAGCTCTGAATTGTACTCCACTGCCAATTTGCTACCTTTAAAGCTCTTGTTTGCTGAAAAGCAGCATTCTAAATTTGTGAGAAGTATGTTGGTGACTGAAGTCAATGGGATGGGAGAAAAGTGCTTATGATTCAGGTAAATGTGTTTGGTAAATCATTTCACCAAGGGAGACTCTTTGGGAGAGGGGTTACCTGAAGTCTCTAAACATGTAAAGTCAAACTAAGATAGATAGCTGCAAAATACATGACATCAAAAAGATGTATTGTTTTCCACCTCAAGTAAAATTTTAGTCCAGAAATGAATGTGATAGGAATAAAAAAACCCAATCCTGTATGAAGGATTTTTAAACTACCTCCAGAAAAGGGGTTTATGTAAGAATCAGGAGAGGAAAAAAACCAAGATGGCAGCATAGGTAAACTCCGGAAATTGCTGCCTCGCACAACCACTTCAAAAATACAACTAAAAGACAAAACGGACAACATCCAGTACCACAGGAAGGCTGGCTGAGTGGAAATTCTACAACTAGAAGGAAAGAGAAAAGCACACTGAGACTCAGAGGAGGTTCGGAAGTAAAGTGCAGAGGTATGCAGGTGCACATGGAAAGGGCTGGCAACTGAGGACACGGTTGTTTTCAATCCGGAGGGAGTCTCAAGCTCCCGAATGCTCTGAACTCCAGTTCAGGGCGAGTCTCTGGGGACCCAGACTCATACGGGAAGAAACTGGACTGTCTGGCATCGGGCGGAACTCGAGGGCGGCTTTCTCTCAGAGGTGCTTGCAACGATTACTGGGACACTGAGATGCGGGGCCTCTTAGGGTAGGACTGAGGAGCAGCCATAGCTGTTTGCTCTACCCTGTTGATCCCCTGAGACCCTGCCCCACCCAAGCTGTGCCCAGAGGCTTTTGCATATGAAAGGCCTGGCACTTTGCAATCTGAAAATTACCTAACAAACTGCAGCTGGGTCAGAGAGACCCAGAACATCCAAAAGAAGGCTCAAGGCCCCACAGCAGCTTGCACTGCTTTCACAGCTGGGCCTCATCTGGGGCACCTCCAACCCCAAACAAA